GATGCATATAGTAGGTTAATTTTAATAATTTTAATAAAGAAGGTTTAATACAATATGTTTGATATGTTAGCATGATTATGATAATGCAAAGATATTTATGTGATTGATTAGAGAAGCCTGTAAGTTAAGTATGTGATTTAGTAGTTACGTGTTGTGTATAGATTATGCCACCTAGAGGATTAGGAAGAGGACGTAGGGGACGACCCCCTATTAGGGGTAGAAGAGATCGAGGTCCAGTACGCAAGGAATCAGTGAATCAACTTGACGAAATGATGCAACTCCTATTTCCAGTGGCGCCTTAGGAGAGGTGACCCTCGAAACTTTAGTGGGTGCCTCAGGAGGGGAGAGACCCTCGAAACGGTGCTTCTTCATCAACCAGAAAAGTAAAGTGCTTGCGAGACTTCAAGAGGGGTGACCCTCGAAACATTAGAGAGGTGATAAGCACCAACAATGTTGGATTTTACAAACTAGAGGTCCTTCTAGGATCCTTGCAAAATTTCACAAATAAAGTTAACTTAACGAAGTATAGATATTTCACCTCTAGAGTCGGCCAAAGAATGTCGACCAAATGCTCTGATGCCAAATGATAAGCGACAACAATTGCTGGAATTGCAAACCTAGAGATTCTTCTAGGATTCTTGCAAACTTTCATAAGTAAAGTTAACTTAACAAATGATTCCAACTAAGAGCTAGTTAGAAGGATGAACAACTCTTAGATCGAACTTGAAATCTATGATGGTCACTCTTAATCCCAAGACGACTCACTCTAGAATTAGTTTGATCAAAACTAATTCAAAATCTATCAATGGGTATGCAGATGATCTAACAGTAGCACAACTATGGTTGAATTCAATAGAGACAGTGTTTAGGCTGACCAATTGCTCAGATGATCGGAAGGTATGATGTGGAGCATTCATGTTGCGAGATGATGCAGAACTATGGTGGCATTCCACCCATTAAATTATTAGTCCGAGGGAGTTGTAATCTCGTGGGAGGACTTCAAGAATCCTTCCCTAGAAGAATACTACCCAAAGAATGCTCAAACTTTGTAAGCAGCAAGAGTTTACACAACTGTGTCAATTGGGGTGATTAGTTGTCATGTATGTCAGAGACTTTATCAGAATAAAATGCTTCGCCCAGAGTTTGTGACATTGAATATAGGATGACATGAAGGTTCGTACTAGGATTGGACAAGAAAATTCGAGATGTCACACATCAAATTTAAAACACAACCTTATAAGTTAAAGTAAGCAAGACTTCCGTCTTAACCCTAAACTCAAAAGTTTAGCAACATAAATGAGTTTTTGAAGCGTTATAGGTTACATGCTAGAAACTTAGTAAGTTGAGACAATTTAGAAAACATAAGCACTAACTTAAAGAATTCTTGAACGTATTTAATAGTTTTATGTTTTGAAAAAACAATAGAAGCCTCAAGTTTAGTTTAAGAACTTACAAGCATGCTACATATGGAGTATATTTATATTCATTCTTATTATTTTTTTCAAATAGTAACAGAGATGCATGATTGTGGCGATGACGAACTCAATGGCGAACTTGAGTTGGGAGGCTTTAGAGTTGTATGTTAGATTTGTGTACCGTTTTAATTTATTGTATATAATTGTACTTTTTATAACGCATATTTGTGAATGTTAACTTTTGCATATGTTTCTTGTTTTTTTTAAAATTAATCTATGTTTCTATAAATATGTTATAATAAAGGTATCTATGTTTCTATTATTTTTATATTGTGAGATTTCATGTGTGTTGTGTATCTATTTTAGTCATGAATTACTTCTCTAGTCACAATTTATGTGTACGCATATAATCATGATTTACCACATTCTTTTCTTCTCCACTGGTTTGAGTTGCACGAGTGTACGTGTGCCTATAGACAGACCTAGGGAGTACCGTAGTGATACTTGTCTATTGGGTCCATGTGTAAGTGCATGAGTTGTGTGTAGAGGAGTAATGCACATTCAATTATACCCGAAAAGAAATGGAGTCAAAGGATAATTATGTTTTAGGTTCCACTAATCATGGTCTGATCTCTTTAAAAATAAATAAGAAAAATTGTAGAGATAAAATGAAATAGGTGGCAGTGATAGGAACAAAGAAGACTTCCTCGTTCCCTCCACTAGTGGAGATTGAGAGTTGACTATAAATAGAAAGACCTTTAAAAAGTCCTACAAACGGAAAGCCTACGGAGAAATTAGTCTTGCACGCACGAGACATTACAATACAAAAGTAAAAGTCTCGGAGAATCCTAAACTTTTGTTAGCTGTCAAATTCAAATAGTACCTCATTCTTTTTTAGGTTTCTTTAAAGTTCTAGCTCGGGTCCACTATTCTATCCTTTAGAAAATAGAAAAGCTTTCCTCAATAGATTCATCTTCCTTATCCTTATAAAACATAAAACCTAGCGGGATAGACACAATAGCCTCTGATCTTATAGCTTAGTGTGGAAGCCTCTGATCTTATAGCTTAGGGTGGAAGATTCATTCACCAAATAAATAAAGACTCATCTGTTTTACCTAAGATGTTTCGGATATGAGGATTTAGTTCAGTATCTGATAAGTAGCAAAGATAGATAACTAGGATTCCTAACAGCAGGACGTCTCAAAAAAGTGAGACTAAGTGAAAGTGGCCAACTTCAGGATCGTATGAATGGGACTATAATTCCTACTAGAGAAGCTGATAAAGGGCTAAACCTCTATGGCTCTTTCATCTCTAAGGGAAGAAAAGTCGAACTCTTAGGATCTCACCTACATCCCTCGATCGTCACCTCGTAACCAAGAACAGTTTTTCCGGCGCTGTGCGAGGATCTTGCTACTTCGACTTCGAAAATTGGAAAAGGTCGCGTTCTTTCGATCAATAAAAATTTAGAGGATTTGCACATCTGATATCCACTTGTGTGGCCGGTGGCTTATTTTGCTCTTTTTTTATTGAACCATTCTAATAAAGTTTTGCTTTCTTTTTATAGAAGTTGCAAGCATTGTTAAATCAAATTACAAATTATCTAAATATGCTCAAAAAAGCAAATTGACTATAGAAAATAGAGTATATCTCAATATTCGATTGAGACTGGAGAATAGAAAGTACGTAAGCTTGACACCCTATCTTACAACTGGTAATAAACTTACCACCGCTTCGCTCTTTCAAGAGTGGGACTACGGTACTCCGACTTATCCTATCCGGGTATCCTTGGATAAAAGGCTTCTATAGAATTATAGATAGAATATAGTCGACTAATTTCTTAGATTCGGAATTCAGTAGAAATTCATAGAATCCGTTTTTGCCTTAGCTTAGCATGAGATCGTTCATAGGCAGTAGAATTCGATGTTCCGCTGCTAGTCCTTGCTTCAATGCAAGATCCAAGGTCGGGTATGAAGCCGCTTTGGCTTAGTAGGCTTTGACATTCTACTTTAGGAAATAGAATAGTGACTTTGGCATGCCAGAAAGGAAGCATTTCGTTGTGGTTCAAGATCCTTGATTGAGTAGATCCAGAAGGGAGTTGAAGTGATTCGAGGGGGTAAAAAGCAATTACAGGGTTTGAAAAGGAAACTGTACCGGCAACGAACTCTAAGGTTTGGCTTTTTCTTTGATTTACTTTAGTCAATGTTGCATTTCGAGTGCTTGGTTAGATCTCCTAATGTATAACTCTTAATGCCCTAGGATTGGACTCAATATTAGTCAATAGCTATCAATAAGAATTTTCCGTGTGAATAAGCTAAAGAGGTCCCAAGGACTTGGTAGCTCTGTATCATCCATATCACAAGATGATTCAATTGATACTTATTTATAAATGAATCTCTGGATAGAAAGTGCCCTATTCCTTTAATTGGTTATCTATACGACGCAAACAACGAACGAATTACCGCTTCATTATATTATGTCTTCCTGTAGCTGCCATTTAATTGACTTTACTAACCAACCCTCGCAATGGCTTCTTTTGAAGCTCTAGTTCTCACGCATCCTAGCTTAAACTTAAAGATATGACTTTGGGTTTGAGCGCGAAGCGGTTTGTTGAGATCAAATGAGATAGATATCCCAACCTTTGATTGTCCAGTTCCCATGAACCAATTACTTGACTTTCAACTTTAAAGGATGTCATCCCGAACTGATAAAAGATCCACTAGGTAGAAAAAAGATTCTTATCCGCAATAGAATCAGGACATCTAGAAGAGGATTATTGCCATTTTCTTGACTTCATTACTTTACAGGGCATTGACTAAAACTAGACCAATAAAGCTCGAAAAGGATTGAATGGAAAAGAAAACCAAATGAAAGCGCTAACAGACAAAACCAGGCCTTTCTGACTTTATTCTTTATTAAAGGCTGGAGTAGAAGAGATAGTAGACCCGAGAGCTGCTAGTATTAGAGCACACCAGCCCTCATCAAGGCAAGAGACCATACATTAACTATGGCAAGAACATTCAATGGTCTGATTTTCAAATATATCATCAATTTATCATACCCACAAAATCAAAATGTATATAATGAGTTATTATAAGGTTAGACTATAAAGTTCAATCTTTATAATATTAATATTAATAAAATAATCATATACACTTGATTTTAACTTTGAGTGTGAGTGGCTTTCTTAGCAAATTTCATAAGCCTACCATTTTGGGAACGTCTAAAAAAAATATAAGTGCAATTTCAATATCCCATCCCATATCCAACTATGCTATATTTGTATTTATTATATATGATTTTATTACATAAACCAACACCAAAAAGAATAAGAGTATGAAATAGATATAGAGCGCACACATACAATAACATAATATCAAACCTTTATGGAAGTCACAAGAGACTTAGAGCATGTATTTGGGAGTTCAATGGCAAAGCAAAGACTTGCAGGCGTATAGTTCTAAAGAAGCGACGCCAAACAAAGCACAAAAGTTGGCGTACAGATAAAATTTCCTCTCCCCAGGCCGACTCCGGGGGCATAACCTTGTCAATGGGCTTATGTGTTCCTGTGTCCGAAAGAATGGGAAAAGAGGCAAGGTACACACACTGATCTAAATTCATTTCAAGTTTTAATAATGAGCCTAAACCGTCTTTCTGCAGCTACAACTTCATACTAAAGTTCTTTTAAATCACCATATAGACGTACTTTTGGAAATTCAAGAGTAAAAAAACATGGCAGTTCCATACCAAGGCAACCGAAGTGCAAAACTACAGCAGCTCGCACGAAGCGGGTTCAGTCTGATGCCAGAAACCTTATGCCATTATCTTTGCTGACCTAACATAGAGACTATCCACAACCTTGCCAATGTTGGAAATGGTTTCCAGTGTGGCTGGATATATGGCATCAGTCTTCGGGTCGTCGAAAATGATTAGGCATCCAGCACCTTGATCTAAGGTCCCTGCAAACTTCTTGTCTAGAATCATCTGAGACAACTTCTTTTCCACATGATCCACTGGCAGTTCAATCAGGTCGGCAATATGAGCAATCTCAACTCTTGAGAATGGTTCGATCAACCTGCACAGATTTTGCTCCAACAAAGTGTCATAGAGAGAAGAGAGATGCCTGTGGACAATAGGGTCTTCCTCTAGTTGAGCCTTAAAATCTCTAAGTGCCATCTCAAAAAGCTTTAATGAACGTTTGGAATGTGCATCAGCTACAGTCTTCATGGCATCTAGCTCAATTCCCACGTATTGTAGACCCGCTTTTGATGAAATTATTCCTGCCACATCATCAGCCTGGTTAACCATTATTTTGCACAGCAACATATATTTGAGGCTAAATACAGCCCGGGGATCTTCAAGAGCATTGAAGGCTTCAAAAGCTTCAAAGAAATAACTGTAAGCAGTTTTGTAATCCTTCTCTTCCGCATGAAGGATTCCACTCTGCAAGTCAATAGTGCCCTGTTGTGCTGGAGGCACGTATATGGCATTAGCAGCTGTTCTTGCGGCAGTAAGTGCAGCCTTCGCTTTAGGGAGGTTCCTCAGAGAAAAATGGAGCTTGCTTTCCAGTAGATCTATGTCTACGAGGAGGAGCTTATCATCCAGTCTTCTTACTTCCTTGATTAATCCAGTCAGGAGATTTAAGGCTTCCGGGTACTCCTTATTTTCCATCAAAAGAGCTGCAAGCCTGGCCTCAACCCGTTGCCGAAGGAAAGTTCGCTTCTCAGCACGTGTCCACTGAACCATTTCCTTGCATAGGGAAATTTGTAGATCAGATGTGTCGGGTATTTTAGCCACGGCATCAATGATTCCTCGGACAATTTTTGCTGTTTTTGCTTTTGGTATCAAGTTAAAGAAAGGCCTAAGTTGAGTCAAAAGGTTCCGAAGATCCTCTGCACGATTCTCTTGCCTGAGAAGATCCGAGAGATTTGTTATGGCCTGTTCTTTTATCCGTAGAGCCTCAGGGGAAGATGAAGGGTTTTCAAGAATACGGTAAAGGATTGAGATAGACTCTGACGAATTGTTAGCTTCTAAAGCCTCAGCAATTGAATCAGTAGTGGCAGGTAGATAAGATGTTGACATTGTTACAGACTTGAACCTGCAGAAGCAAGTCACTAAGAACGTGAAAACTTTATTTAGACAGTAAAAACAAAACGTCTGAAAGTCCCTCCTGATCAAATAACTCTAAAGTCCTGCATTACACTACCAAATGCGGAGAAAATTATCAGAAAGAAACTGAAAATCAAAGCTTCCAAGGCCCTCTATCTGAAGTTCTTGGTTCCCTATCTCAATCCCGCACTTGCCCCTCTCTATCCACTTCATAATAAACTCTTATGATATCTTTGAAAAAGACCCAGCAGCCAAAGGCAGTAACTTCTCATTAATGTAATGAGAAGTTACATTAATGAGAAGGAAATGTTCACGAGATAGTCACTCTCAAAGGGAGTGAAAACAGAGAAAGAAAAAGAAAAATCAAGCATGTTTCATGCATTATTAAGAGCTTCAAAGCCACCAGCAAGGCATTTTTTGAAAGCTCTTCTTGCAAACAAGTTGTAATAACTTCCTCAGTAAAAGGCCACTTAAATCGGAACTTGATTTCAGCTCCAAACCAACCAAAATATTAAAATCCGTAACATACAAAGATCCTTGGGAAAACGCCAAAATAAATGCTATATCAACCATCTTTTCAACTCTTCATGAAAATAAGTTGCACTAACTCCCCCAAGGAAAGGCCACTTAAAACGAAAATTTTATTTCAGCCACTAATCAACCAAAATATAAACACTGGGCATTTCAAAGCTCCATTGGAAAATGCCAAAACAAATGTTATATCAACCTCCTTTTCTCCGACCAAAGCACTAAGTATGGGAACGAACAATGCTACTTTGGAACTCCACATGAATTTAACGAGTTTTGAACAAAATATTCCAACATTTGATTCTTGTGGAAGAACCAATTCGGGACAATGGTGCTGCAGAAACTTCTTCAACTGAGTAATTTTTGATTAGTCCCCAAACACCCATGTGTTCCAAGATAGAACTTTCATTGAATTACAAAGGATAATTATTGATCATAATCTGACATTTAGGACCAACTGTTATAAAATCTAAAAGGGGAAGAGCCCCCAAACCAAATTTCCAGCTTCCAAAAGCAAAGGGAAGTGTTGAGAAAAAATATGAGCTTGTCTTGATACCCTTGAATTGTTAAACAACTGATCCCATTCTTTGTAAATAAGAAGTCTAAAAGAACAACTTTGAAAAATGTGTATCCATCAAGTTCTTCTTAACAACCTCTACATAACTGCTATAATTTGATTTTTCCTTGGACACTGCCAGCAAAAGAGCATTAGACGAAGTCGTAGGTGCATCAAACAAATACTTCAAAAAATCTGACAGAATTCGTTCATCAAACTTCCTAAGGAAATCTTTTTAGCATTTCCCAGAAAACCAGCCATTCTTTTTTCAACAGAACAGCTTTTACTTCAAACAATTTCCTTCCACTCGAAGGTAGCCAAACAACACACTCAATAAACCATCCTAGAGAGGACTTAACAAACTCAATAAACCATCCGAGAGAGAAATTAGGCTAACTGCAATAAATCTACCAAAGAACTTTCAAACTCACGAAATGAGAGACTGAAAGAGGAATACTCAAATTACACTTCATTTCATTAATAAAGAAGATGCCATCTTTGAACCAACTACTGTAAAAAATGTTACCTACACAACAGCTTCGAATTTCCACGAACAAGAACCAACAGATTCTTAAGTATGTAATGTAGATACAATAGCTTCTTAATCCCAAATCTCAAAATGAGAAACAAAACAAGTAACAAACCTTAAAGGAAATGAGGTCTCTGAAGAAGGGATTCTTCAAAGTATGTTTCAATAATTTACATCCATACTTAGAAAAGAAAACTCATAAGTTATAACCTGAAAGACAAGAGGCTGGCAGATAAAAAAAAAAACGCAAAAGAAATAAAAGGGTTACAAATTAGCAACCTAATTTGAGACTAAGCTGACCTAAAGAACAATAATGCTTCGGTATTCCATTTGAACCACAGAAACAGATTTAACTCAGATAGCATCAATTTCTGAAAGCTGAAAGCTCAAATGCAGGTTGTTTGTTCCAAAGCACACAGATCACAAATCAGAGCTTCGTTCCCAAATAAAAGAATTAAAACGAACAACCAGACCTAAACACAATCTTTATTCAAAAAGAAAAAATAAGCAAAAGATTTGAGTGAGTGAGAGAGGGAATGTACACTGGAACGTGGGCGACGGCGATGAGTGTGAGATGAAATTCAGACAACGGAGAGAGCAGCGAAAACGGATTTGCTGACAAATTGGGTTGCAGAGAGAATCGGAGTCGCAAGAACAAGATCCAATTTGTGAAATGGAAAGGGACGAAAGAATAGGGTTCGTTGGCGTTCTTTCTTGGGGATGAGGTAAAGTGCCCCTTCTCTGTTAGGAAATCATTTTCTTTTCTTTTCTTCCTAATTTTTGTATTTAATTTTTAATATTTTAAAAATGATTAATAGATTTATAAATCTAATTAAATTTATTTATTTATTTATTTTATTATTATTATTATTATTATTATTATTATTATTGAGTTAGAACATGAAAAAAAAAATGGGCATTTAGTGACCGTTCTCCACCTTCGGTAGCATCTTCTAGTCCACCACGGCTTACGCACACCTTCTCTTGATCTCACCAATTCAATGAATTAGAAGAGTTGTATTTTTTTTTATCACAATCGGTCCCTTGTCGTCGCCTTTAGGTAGCACAAGCTTGAAGTTAGAAGAGTTGTATCGTAAACTAACCTTCAAACATGAGTTTTCCCTTTGGTTCTTTCTATACCTATTTCCTTATTCTTGTGTATTATTACCCGAAACCCTGATTTAATACAAAGAAGGGACTACACAATCACGTGGAATCATTGTCAAATACCTTAGTTACGAAGGGAATTAGAGATGTCCACCGGACACATCTTCATTACTATTCCTTCCACCTATTTCATTTCTCATCAGTACAGATGTTTTCATTTTTTTCTTTTATTATTCTTTTTAAAAGTATTATTTTTTTATTTTTTATTTTTTTAATATAATATGAGTAAATCAATATATTTTATATACAAAATCAATATAATGTTCTACGAAAATTAAATTTTAAATTTTAAAATTTAATATTATAATATAGTAATTAATAATTAAATTTTTTTACAAGTATTTAATTTAAACATTACAATTATAGGGGATGGATAATGGATATGGGTAATAGGATCTCATTTTCTGTTAAATAACGTTTCCTATTTCCTCCCAATTCTTACAAATAATGGAAAGTCGTGTACATCCCGACAACTCGACATTTCAAACCAATTCAATCCAATCCAAACTATGAGGGTTGGGTTGGGTTAGATTAGCATTCCGAGTAGAGTTGGGTTTATTTTTCTAAACCCGAAATGAATCGGTTCGGTTTCGGGTTCGTGGATAAAATCTTTGGGTTGACCCGAACCAAATAAAAATATATAAATATATTAAGAATCTTTTCGTATTAATAGGTTTGCTAGAGTGCTACCTTGGCTTGGAAAGGCCCACGTATACATTTTTTTTAATATTATTTATATTTTGTTTAATTTCTAACTTTATCATATTGCAATTAAAATATTTTATTTTTATTTATAAACATCTTTACTCTAATCATTTTTTTTTATTGTTTATTTAATTTAATGATATATTCTTGTATTTTTTTATTTTAAGAATTTTTCAAAAAAATATCTATATTTAATTTTTTTTAGTTTTATGATCGGTTGAACTATGTTAATATATTACCCGTTTTTTTATTAGATTGTCACATATCACCGGTGTTGTTTTGGATTTAGTAAAAAAGAATCCCTCACTCTCATGTGTACACCCCCTTGCCATCAATTTCCCGAGCAAAATTCCAAATGGCATCTTTGGGAAAAAATGGAAGCCGAAGCCGAATGATGAAGCTTCGTAATCCAGTTTCCGCAACGCCAACATGGCGGCCCGAAGTTCATCCAGTTGACTCGGCCCTTTTCCAATTCCGGATTGGCAGGTACTCCGCACCGGTATCTTTGAAAAATGTGAGATAATTTATCCGCGTTTTCTGTTGTTCAGTAATTTAGAGCATGCTCCCTTTTCTGATCGTGGATTGTGGGCTTTTCTTAGTCGGCTCCCTTTCTAGTCAAGTTAACGCGGACGAGAGAGGGAGATTGAGGGAGAATTTAGGAAATATCACGAGGGCAAAACGAATTGAAAGGATTAGAAATAGATTTTGTAACCGAATGGATTCATCAAGAATTGGGTGCGGCAGCTTTTGCGTAATCGGATAATCTGAATACACAAGTACAATAGAGGTCAATCATCACCCTCCACCTGTGGAACGGGGAGTACGGTAGCCGTCATTAAGAAATATGAACTAGAAATCACAATCCATGTCGGTTCTTTTCCCTTTTTCTTTCGCTGTCAAAGATCCGAAGTGGGGAATTTAAGGGAAGCTTCGTGAATTTAACAACCACAGAACATGGAGGCGGGAAATTCCCATTAATTTTCTTTGTAGATACGTGCCTATATAAAGGTTGATCTTTCCAAGGAGAGATTCATATCCAGTTTTAGGCTATTCCCTTCTAAGAGTACAGTTCCCTTTCTTTCTTAATCTTACTCTTGAATTCCTTTTTATTTATTGGGACTAGTTGATACCCAATTCAGTTCCATAGTCATGGCGCATGGGGAGTTGAAGAGGAGGTTTAAGGAGTTGAAAGATGTGAATGAGAAGCAAGAAACAAAAGTGTGTTACCATAAAAGCAAAGTTCAGAACATCGTTTTTGGCTATCTCATTTGGGTTCGTTTGTTCTTCTATGGTATTTCTCAGACTTTGTCCTTCAAGTGCAATAATTGGTGGGTCATTTTGGCTTTAAGTCTTTTATGGAATTTCATTTACCTTTTACTTTTCCTGGATGCCATGACCATGTTACATCGGGCTCAGTACCAGCTAGACATAATCTGCAAGGAACTAATTGAATTTTGCCAACAAAATTTGATACCCAAAAACCGAGATGATATGGATCTAGTGGAGGCTGGTGAATCTTGTGATGGATTTGGGTTCGGTTTCCATAAGAAGATGCTCATGCTTGATCATTCTACAATTGTTGGGAGGAATGTTTATATCTATTTCATTGTCTGTGCTTTGCTTGCTGTTGCTGCGATTGAATTATATGCTTATAAGTACTTGTTATGCAAATGATATGGTGGAGTCGTAGTTAGAATTTAGCTTCCAAGTGTGCTGGGCGTAAAATATCTGTGCAAGAAGGTTAGAACGGAATAAAAGGGTTTCAAGGAAAACGGGCCGAAATTGGAGGAGGTTTTGTATTCGTGATGTAAATTAGAGCCTTTTTATAGACTTTGTTTTGTACTTTGTTCACGTGTATTCCTTCATTTGTCTTTGGTTTTTCATTAAATAATGAGTTCGTAGATCTGTTTCTGCTGTATAAATTTGGAATAAATATATATATACTTGGTTTAGTGGCTGAAAAAGGCCTCTATCCAGAAAAAAAAGAAAAAAAGAACAGGGGTATCCAATCGTTCTCCACTGTTATTCTCGAATTTAATGTAATCGATTAAAGGGCTCGATGGAAAAGAGTCCTAATTAAAAACATTATCCACCAGATCAAAGAGTCCTGAATTGCAATCCAGATTTTCCACCAGATCAAAGCTTTTTTGCTTGGTCAACCGCTCTCTGATTAAACCCATATGGTCACTCTTGAGGTCTCCTTCTTTAGCTGGATTGGTTTTTGTATGTCTTTGTCATTTCTCTCAACGAAAGCTTGGGTTCTTCCTATATATATATATATATATATGCATTGTCATTGGTTTGGACATTATTCCCAAACTTTGTTTGCTTATTCATCAAAAAGTTAGCGGCTCATTTTCTTATGTCATAAAAGTTTGGAAGGAGTTGCCAATTAAACACCCAACAACACGTTTCTTAGAATCGTTTTTTTATGAAGTCATTTTGGGTGATTAACAGACAACAAATTTTATGAAAATGACTTTTTTTCAAAATTAAACACTTGAAACACAATCCAAACGCACCCTTAGACGGAGAGAGATGAAGAAAAATGTAGACTCAGAAAACTGGATAGAGGCAGATGCTGTAATTTGGCTATTCAGATAAAAGTAATTGGTCGTAGTCTAAATTGGTGGTATTAAGTCGAATAGCTTTTCGGAGGGAACGTGAAAACTGAGCCCCGTCTGAATGCTTATCCCTTTTCAGTTTTCACAAAGGTGTTATTAAGATACCTCTATAAAGCTGATCTTTCCAATTAAAGCCATGAATCCAGTTCTGGGTCATTCGTTTCAATAGGTACACTCCCCGATTGTTCTTCTAAATACCTTATTGAGACTGTCGTTAATGTTGGATGATGAAAGGGAATGATCATGGGTTTATAAGTGAGGAATACTAACTCCATTGGAATGAGGCCTTTTGGGAAGCCCAAAGCAAAGCCATGAGAGCTTATGCTCAAAGTGGACAATATCATACCATTGTGGAGAGTCGTGTTCGTCTAACAGTTAGAACCTCAATTTGGTTCCATTGCCATGGCGCTTGGAGAGGAATTTTGTGGAGCTGAAAGATGTTAATGAGAACCAAGAAACAAGGTTCAAATATTGTCATTGGCTGCCTCGTTTTGGGATGCTTGTTCTTCTTGGGTATCTTTCAGGTCTCTTTGTCCTTCAAGTGCAAGGATTGATGGGTCGTTTTGGCTTTAAATCTTTTGTGTACTTTCTTCTACTTTTTACTTTTCCTGGATGCTGTCACTATGTTATCTCGGATCCAGTACCATCTAGACATAATCCTCAAGGAACCAACTGAAATTTGCCAACAAAGTTTGGTAGCCCAAAACCAAGATAATGTGGGTCTATCAATAGAGGCTGGAGAATGCTCTGATGGATTTGAATTGAGTTTCCATGAGAATCTTTGATTGAGTTTCCATGATAAACGATGTTCATTCTTGATCATTTTTTGAATTGTTGGGAGGAAAGTGTATATCTACTTCCCTGTTTGTGCTTCGCTGGTTCGTACTGCTATTCAGTTATATGGTTGCAAGTGCTTGTTGTGCAACCGAAATGGACATCGTTTTAGTCTGTGCTGGTGGGGTTGTGCAACTGAAATGGACATCGGCTACATAATCATTGATCTTGTTGCAGATTCTTTCTTGTTCTCCATTTCAGTAGCACATGCTTGTTCTGCCTTTCCTCAACTCCATGGTCCAAAGACTTGATAGATCCACCCTCAATCATTATCCCATGAAGAAAAGGATTTTAAATGGGTCCTTGAAAGATTCCCTGAAAACTTGAAATAGAAAGAGTTGGCCTAAATCTAATAGAGAAGATTGATTATTTGGAAGACTTACCCCCTTGCCCAAGCCTCATGACATCATTTGTAAAGAAGAGAATTTTC